TCTACCTTCAGCACTACCTCTGAAAGAGGACTTGAATGTGCCATATCCATTAAACTCACCCTCACATGGCAGCCTGGGATATCTTTTATTTTTGTTCTTATTTGTTTGTTTATTTTGTGTGGTGCTGGGGATTGAACCCAGGGCCTTGTGCATACTAGGCAGTGCTCTAACCTAGAGCTATACCTCCAGCTCTTGGGGGGATCTTTTTAAATAAGCAGTGCTACTGTACCCTCTAATGACATTCCATTGAATTTAGAATGAAGTCCAAATTCAGGTGTTGGGACCCACAGGCCACCTTGGCCYAATGTTGCCTGCCCTGCAGTGCCATTAACTTAGCCACTGGGGCCTCTTCTGTTGCTTGGATACACTAACTGTGGCCTTGCCTTAGGGGCTTTGCTTGGTTCCTTTCCTTCAGCTGGCTCCTGGCTTGCTTCCTGTGATCCCTCATGTCTGATCCAGTGTTGCTGTAGGTCAGCCTCAACCCTTGCCAGAGCACCCAAACTCAAGTAGCCATCCTACTTGCCACCCGTCCCCCACCTCTTCTGTTGACCTGGTGGCACATCTCTCTGTTTTTACTGTGTTCACTTATGGATCGTGTGTCTCTGTCTGTGCAGGTGCTAGAACCTACCCTGCCTTCTCCACTGATGCACCTCAAGTACTCAGAACGGTGCCTGGCATGTAGTGTGTTCTGCTGACTGGCTGACTTTTGGTCCCCTTACCAAGGACTACATGGTTATACAGAAGGGGTGCTTGCAGTACTGACTACAGGCAGTCCCTGAACTCACAATGCCCAAGTAATAGTGTCCCTTCTCCATGCACAGCCACCATGGCAGACAAGCCCATGTTCACTCTGACCCCCTCTGGTTTGCTTCTCGATGGTGCATATTCTCTTGAAGCTAGCTGTAGTGGGTTCTTGGCATTCTTGGTGCTCAGCCAGAATGTGGAGCTGGTGTGGCTGTAGAGAAGCAGTGGAAAGCTCTCGTACTTACAGTACTGCTGTTCAGCTACATTATGATTCAGATAGGCTTTAAAGTCCTAAAAGGACATTTAACTACCATTTTGTGGCATTTGGGCTTTGGAAAAAATGTATTTTAGGCTTCCAAATAACTGATTTGGAAATGCAGTCTTAGAACCCAGTAATTTGGAAGTTGAGTGCTACATGTAARCATACTTGAGCTGTTAAGCAAATGGAACATAGATTCCCAAGTTGGTAGATAACTGACAAATCATTTGTCACTTTAGAAAAACATTGCTGTTAGCTGTAACTCTAAATGTGAGTGATCATGGTCTTCTTACTTGCCCTCCTCCCCATGCTACATTGATTTCTAAAGTATGGGAAGATAGCAGTCCTATAGGAGCAACCCTTTCATTGTTCCTTCTCCTCATGGCCAAGTTCTAGGAGGTTGTTGATTGCTCTGCCATTTGCTTTTTTTTTTTTTTTTTTTTTTTTGAGGCTGGGCTCAAGTGACCCTTCTGCCTCAGCCTCCTATGTGCTGAGATCACAGGGTGCACCACTAGGCCTGGCTTGCTCTGCCTTCTGAAGTAGTACCTAATTCTAGAGGAATGCAGACCTGTCACCTGTGCTTGTCTTAGTTCCCTTTGTTATTTCACTCCAATCTCTCCTGCCTGTAGACAGGGTATCCCTTAATAATCCCTTCAGCAAGCCCTGAGAGAGATTTTTAGAAAGAGCTTACTTCCTAGAGAGTAGAATGATGGCTGGTTCCTTTTTCTATTTCTGGAGGGTTTTGTTTCTTTATTTGTTTTTGCTGCAGTGTGGTGATGGAGCCTAGAGCCTCACGTGTGCTAATAAGCAAGTGCTTTATCACCGAGCTACATCCCCAGTCCTCCTTTTTCTATTTCTTATGTGACCCATGGCATAAAGCAAAAGGCAGCTGAATTCTCGCTTTTAATTACTGAGGAAAGCAGGCTGCTGGAGGGTTGGTGGGAGAGGAGTCATGTTTGGGTATATTTTGTTGTAGAGGCAGAGAAGAAGCGGGAGGCCAAACAGCGAGCTAAGGAAGCTCAGGAGCGGGAACTGCGGAAGCGYGAAAAGGCAGAAGAGAAGGAGCGTCGGCGAAAGGAGTATGATGCCCTCAAAGCTTCCAAGCGGGAGCAGGAGAAGAAGCCCAAAAAGGAAGCAAATCAAGCCCCCAGTAAGTTTGCTGTCTGGGCAAAGTGGTAGCCCAGGGCAGACATGTGCATGTTTTCRGGCATGAATGAGCAAGCTCACAGACCAGTGACATAAACTACAGTCATACCTGGGARTAGTGTGGGTGTCTGAAGAGTGTGGCCACGGGGAATAGAGGAGACTCTGGGGGAGCTGGTGCTGGCTGGCTCATTTCCCAGTGCCACATGTGGGTGTGTCAGTCAGTTGTGTCCTAGAGCACCGTGGAGCAGGGAGTCTCACTTTCTCTAGGGCTGACATCCTAAAGCCTATTTTTTTATTTTTTCTGATTATAATATGTGTTCATTGCAGAGATTTAGAAATGATATAATCTCAGAAAACAGCAGTCACCTATAATACATTCCCAGTAGTAATTACTATTTACAAGTGATATATTGTATTACTTTTTAGGTTTTTCATACGTGTATTATATAATGATAACATTCACAGTATTAGTAAATCTGGACTCTGTTCCCAAACGGGCAGTAGTCTATCCCTGCTGAACACCCTCTGATAAGCCCTTCCTGCTCCCAAGGGGCTTGGAYCATCTTCATGTTACTAAGGAGAGTGTAGGAACCTGGGGACTGAGCTACAGGAGTCATACAGAATGAGTTCCAGTTTCCAGGGTAGTCCCTTGAGATCCCAGGGATGAGACATTTATGTTATGGTCTTTGTGTAGCAGAGTCTTGAAGAGCTCTGATATCCATAAGACATCGTTCTCCTCAGGTCTCGAGGAGTGGCTGAGTAGATCTATCTGCAGGGAGACTTGCATAGACTATAGACAGTGGGTCTCCTCAAACTAACAGAACTTCATTTTGTCTCTTGTGACTTTATCTCTCCAGAATCTAAGTCTGGCTCCCGTCCCCGCAAGCCACCACCCCGGAAACACACTCGGTCCTGGGCTGTGCTGAAGCTGCTGCTGCCGCTGCTGCTGCTGTGTGTGGCTGGTGGGCTGGTTGCRTGTCGGGTGACAGCACTGCAGCAGCAACCCCTGTGCACCAGTGTGAACACCATCTACGACAATGCTGTGCAGGGTCTGCGYCGCCACGAGATCCTCCAGTGGGTCCTGCAGACCGACTCCCAGCAGTGAGCTTGTCCTCYGCACCTGCTGCCTCCCGGCCTTGGAGCTCGGATTCCTGTGGAATTGGCTTCTGCTGGACACAACCTTTTTAGCGTCAGACCTACCTGCCATCATCAAATGGCTGCCAGTTGGTACTTGAGACCTCCCCTTTGTAGGACTTCTTGTTGTTCCTTAGTCAGGGTTCCCTGGTGGAATGAGAAGAAATGGGAGGTGGGGAGGGATAGTTACCTGCATGCCTAAAGGAATAGGCTTGGGGGTGGGGAGAGAGAAAACAGCCTTTTTTAGTTATTGTACTAAGCTGTGTAAAGGCAAGGCTTGTTTCTACTAAATGGTCAGCTGTCACTACATTTATACTTTTGTATGTCACAAACCCTTTCTTTCATTCCTCCCTGGGTAGCCCAGGCAGATTAGGAGGCAGTATGTTACTGGGGACTAGGGGACCACCACATTCAGTAAATCCAGTCGAAATTGGGGAAGGGGTTTCCTATTTCCTAAAAAAAAAAARTTCTGAGACATTCAACATTTTAGTGACCATCAAAACCTCAGGCTGTGAAAGGGACTTCACAACCCTCAGCCCCATGTAACGCTTGTAGGCAGAGGAACTGAGGCCTTCCATAACTCGCCCAGTTTCCCAGATAGTGTAAGGTAGAACTAGACTCCCACTCTGGTATTCTTTCTTTCCTTGACATCATTTGGCCTCCTTTGTAAAGTTCAGAGAGAACAGAACTCACACCAGAATTCCGTCTCAGGCAAGGTGTAGACACTTCACAGTAGACGGAGTCATGACTCTATTCATGCCATCAGGGTCTTGGGCAGCTCCCGTGGAGTCCTGCCCTAACTTAAATAGCTTCCACAAAATGGCAGCAGGCCTGCTCCTTGCCTCAGGTTCAGAGCATTAACTCCCTGGTTGCCAGGAAATGAGGAGGTGGATCTCTGCAAGGCTGCATTRTCTGTGACAGCTCCATTAGCACTAGGTGTGATTAAATACCTCAGAGGCAACCTGAACACTCAGCTTCATAGACACTGAGGTTCAGAATTGTTTGATTCTAGACCTATAACAGAAGGGAAGGAATGAATGCAAACTGTAGGAAATGAAGGGAAACAAGTAGCAACAATGGAGCTGAAAAGTGGTGCATAAAACTAAAGACTAGCACAAACTAGGGCAGTACCGTCCATTCTCTTGGCTGCTAAATTTAAGCATTTTCTTGCCTATGCTTCATCTTTTCACAACAGCTGGATGAAGGGATCAGAAGGACCATGTCTTGGTGCTCATTCACTGAAAACCCAATTGCAAGCTCCTTGCCTCTTCCCATAGGGAGCAAGAACCTGCTATAGTTTAGAGACAGAGGGCAGAGTCCAGCTTTTTAGCCCTAGTGGCCCTTCCAGGGTAGTTCTATCACTCATGATTGTCTTGGTACTGGAAGAAAGGACTTTGCTCTCTCCTCCCCCAAGGTAGCTGTGCCACGCAGGTCCACACCTTACTCAGAATCACTACACATTCCTTAGTCTTCCTCCAAGCTCCAGAGCCATTGGTATAAAATGCTTTATTGAAACTTAACACATAATACATAACAATGAGATTATGAAAATACAGAAGTCAGCCTAGTTATCATAGTTCCTTTGGCCGGTTGAGGCAGCTCAGTGGCTGAGCCAACCTGCAGGCAAGAGTTCACTCCGACTTCGAGATTTGATGCTGATTCTTTTSGATTTCTACAATTATTAAATCCATGTCTGAGTGGTCTGTCTTTGTTCTTTTGTGTTTTGAGGGCTGGCTGGGGCAGGGGTAACAGCTGTTTTTGCTGGGAGAAGAGCAGAACCAAATGTCTTGGCCTTCTGCCCTGAGTTCACAGGGAATACGACAAGTAAGGAGAGACTGGGCCACCCCCTGGCTAGGCCTCAGGAGGTGCTTCCAGTTAGGTTCTAAGGTTGAGGAGGTAGAAATCAGCATTTTATCCTTGTCCCTGTGGACTAGCATCAGTCAGCACTATCTAAAGTGAGATCTGGCTGCAAACTGGTCATCTGAAGGTAGACACGCCTAGACACCTCTGGCCCAATACGGCGGGAGGTGGATGTCACTCCTTCCCCGCGACGCACCTGTATGTCTGCCAGCAAATTCTGGCGTTCTTGCTCCGAAAAACACCGCCGATAAGCCTGAAAGCAGTAAATGATCTCTTAATGCTGTACCATCCCCAACTGTCCTCCATCCATGAGCAAAAGGGTGGCAGGCTTGGTCTGGGGAATGAGAACCCAGGGTCCCTCTGGGTCAGCATGAACTGAGCCAACCCACATTGCTGACAAACAGCATCTTTGGGTCCTCAACAGGGCTGTTCATGGAAGTCATCTGGGGGGCCCTCTGAGGCCAAAGCAGGTTAGGTGACCATAGAGCAGCATACCTCTACCAGGAGCCTTGGGGAGGGATAGGCATCCACAATAGCACTGGCCATTTCCAGGCTGACTCGGTTCAGCTGCTGAATCTGTCTTCTCCAGACTAGTGCCAGTCCCCTGCCAGTGCGGTCTACCTTCACCCCTCCAGCCCAGTCGCTCTCCAGGCAGAAGGAGAAGCTGTTTTCATCTCGGAGTGTCCTGCAGATAACACAGCTGGGAAGCTGAGCTGCTCATTAGTCCTACACTTGTCCCTTCAAATAAGGACTGAAAAGCACTCTGTCCAGTGACCTGGAGATGGATACAGTGTCATATCTGGCCAGTTTGAGCCTTCAATGATTTAAGCAATTATTTCATTTCCAAGCACAGTGTTAGTTGTGGTTTCCCTTAAAAAACTATAACTAGTCCCTTTCATTACTATAGAAGGTACCAGATTCTTCTGCTTGTAAGCTAAAGGAGAATATTTTATTTATTGGTCCTGGGGACTAACCCAGGGGCACTTTATTACTGAGCCACATTCCCAGCCCTATTTATTTATTTATTTATTTTTGATGGTGTTGGGGATTGAACCCAGAGCCTTGTGCATGTGAGGCAAGCACTCTACCAACTGAGCTATATCCCTAGCCCCTCTCTTTATTTTTTGAGATAGGGTCTTGCTAAGTTGCTGAGGCTGCCTCAAACTTGTAATCCTCCTGCCTCAGGCTCCTGAGTTTTTGCTAGGAAAAACTAGCATGGCTGCAAGAATTATCCTCAAAGGCAAGTTCCTACATGGAGGCAGCAGGCTTTTCTGGGGACACTCACTTGAAGGGTGCCTCAGCCACGGCCTTTGTGAATGTGCAGGCGAAGTCAGCCAGTTCTTTCCAGCTCTGCACAATCCGAACCTGGGCTTCGGTATGTAGCTGCAGATCCACCAACGCCTAGAAACCCCAAGAAAATGATGGACTGGAAGGGCAGAGAGAGACTAGTTGGAAGTGGTTCTCCCACTGTTCACAGAGACTGCACCCCAGCCTCTTAGCTCCTTATTTGATCCCTTCTCTCCTACTCAGGCCAGTATAGAAAGCAGTGTCTAGTGGGTAGTTTATTCTCTAGCAAACTGGATTACATGACTAGTGAGCACCCACATGAACAGGAAGTTCTTACCTCTTCCACTTCTACCCTGGACACCACAGGCCCTGTGCTGGGCTCTTGTCTCTGCTGCTTCTCCTTGGCCTGTTTACTTGACGCTCCCTGTTTCCTTCTCCTTGGAGGGTTCTGAGCCCTGGAGYAGGGGAGCAAAGTAAAGGACAGCACCTCCAGACTGCACGAAGGCAGAGGGGTGTAAGAAGAGTAGACCAGGACATCCCACAGGGCTTCCAGGGACATCATCTTGCAGTGATTTATAGATGGAGTGAAGAAACTCACCCTTGTTGGCCCACGAGCTGCCTCATTTAACACTAAGTCTCCAGGGAAAATCCAAACCTGAAGCATTTCTCCTGATCCACAATCACCAACGATACAGCTTTCCCTGCTGTCCTTGCTGTGACGTCAGTTACAAAACCTTGAAGTGTGTCCTTCCCTTTTCCGGCACTGCCTGGACTTCCCTGTGTGAAGGGGCGTAAGGTGCATTAACATTCCCACCTGGTAAGAGGGCTGCTCTGTTCCATGCCTCAGTCCCACTCCTCTGGCCCTACCCACCTGCTTAAAGTTGCAGATCATGGACATAAAAGCTTCTGCCAGGAGTAACACAAGGACTGTCTGCTCCTCCACCCAGTCCTCTTCATCCTGCCAAAGGGCCCAGAACACAAGACAGAGAGGGAGGTCAGCAGGTGTGGGGCCCCATGAGTGACCCAGGTCTTCCAGGTGAATGAATTCCCTGCCCCTTGTGCTGTTTCCTTCTCCCCTCACTCCCCCTTTTTTTGGTGGTTCTTGGGATTGAACCCATGCTAGGAAAACGCTCTACCACTGAGCTACATTCCCAGTTCTTTTATTATTTTATTTTGAGACAAGGTCTCAATAAGTTACCCAGGGTGGACTAGAACTTGTGATACTCCTGCCTTAGCCTCTCAACCTCCCAAGCAGCTGAGATTACAAGTATGTGCCACTGTGCCCAGCTTCCTTCCTTTTCAACACCCCCCCAACCGAGTACTGAGGATTAAATTCAGAAGGCTTTATTATGAGCCACATCCCCAGCCCTCTATTATAATTTATTTTAGTTTTGGTTTTGGGTACTGGAGATTAAACCCTAGGCATGCCCCCACCTTTTTTTCAGTGCTGGGTATCAAACTCAGGGCTTTAGACATGCTAGCAAGTGCTCTGCCACTGAGTTATATCCTCCACAGGGTCGCTTTACTGCTGAGCCACATTCCCACCCTCTTTATTTTTTACTTTGAGGATAGGGTCTGACTAAGTTGCTTAGGGCCTTGCTAAGTTGCTGAAGCCATCCTCCTACTTTAGCCTCTCATATTGCTGAGATTACAGGTATGAAYACTCCACACCCAGCTTATTTTATTTTTTATTTTGAGGCAGGGTTTTGCTAAGTTGTCAAGGCAGGAGGATCACACTTGCAATCCTCCTACCTCACCCTCTAAGTAGCTGGTATTACAACCATGTGCTACCACACCCAAACTTTTTCTTCTTGACTGAAGTCAAGGTGGCAAGGAACAATACTAGTGATCCTGTTCCTCCCTAGCCCTCAATTCTTTAACCTTGGTGCACTGCACTTCTGAAACACTGAATAAGAAAGGAAGCACTGGGGTGCAGCTCAGTGGATCATAACCTGCCCTACAAAAAGAAAAAAGAAAGCAAACTCCAAAAATGAAGTAGAAGAGGAGGAGGAGGAGGAGGAGGAGGAGGAGGAGGAGGAGGAGGAAGAAGCTGGGAAATTGGCACATTTAAAGGGGCTGAGAAGCAACTGCCAATTTTTTGTGTGCATTCTGAGTAGGGGAATAGAGGAAACAAATAAACGACTGCACTTTGAAGGTAGAGGCTAAGAGTTGAATGGCCCTTATAAACACAGGTTGTGGGTGAAAAAAATCACAAGAGGAACCTCTGTGAGAATAACTCCTCTTCATAATAGCAAGGACGCAGTCAAAGCCGAGGCTGCTTCAGGGCCAACAATCCAACAGCAAAACAGTATAACGGAGAGACTGTGAGACTGCAGAGCAGGAGTTTTGCAGAAAGGTTTCTGATTGGGTCCCTAAAAGCAAAAGCAAGACCCCTCAGATGGCAAAGTGTAGATGGCAGTAGCTCTGGGTTCTAGTTCTGGCTGTGGTTCTGAACTAGGCTTTTAAATTCTCTGAGCCTGTTTCCCAACCTGTGGTGTGCAGAAAAYTCCTACTTTATAGGATAACTGAGACTGAAACAAAGAGAGGATACGGGAGTGCCTAGAAAGGATAAAGTGCTAGACAAATACAAGGGTTTGCTAATACCTTCCAATAAAAAGCATGGGTTATTATTCTCAATTACTGAGAAAGTTACGAGATCCAGAAAGAGACGGGGAAAAAAAAAATCTTGTTTCGTCTCTAAACTCTTGAAAATGATGGGTGGAGGACTGGGATGCACATACTCAGACATGAGGCATGACAGGTAAAGTATAGTAACCTAGGGATCCTCAGTGGGGAGGGACATATACTGAAGTCTACAAAATGCTGGTGCTGGGTAATCCGAATTCCCACAACAGGAGGACTAAAGTGATGTAACAGTGTCCTCATTTTACACATGAGGTCACTGAGGCACAAAAATATGCGTAACCCAAATAACTTACCCAGAGTAGCAGCAATAAAACCAGGAAGTTGGGATTCAAAGACAAGCCCCTTTCCCAAAGCCCAGTTAGAGAATTAAGAATCCTATGTGGATTTTCTTCCCTTGCCCCACTCTGCCTAAGGAGGTGATCTCCACAGACACCACAAGGTCCTCGTGTTCACAGGCTCCCAGGTGGGAACCCAAATAGGGGACTGGAAAGGAAGAAGAGTGTGAAATCAGGGTATTTCTTTCCCTGGTTCCCTTCCAGTGGAGTCCTTTGGCATTTGCTACACTTCTTCACGAGAGGACATAGTTTCTCTGAAGGTGGCCTTCTCTCTATTTCTCTTGAGGGTTTTCTTGGGGTAGGTATTGGGGATTGAACTTAGGGGCACTTTGCGACTGAGCTACATCTCCACTCACTTTTTTTCCCCCCCGCAATAGAGTCTAAGTTGCATAAGCCCTTGCTAAGTTGCTGAGGCTGGCCTTGAACTTGTGATCCTCTTGTCTCAGCCTCCCTAGTTGCTGGGATAACAGGCATGCACCACCTCACCTGGCTTTATGTCTTCAAAATTCTGCTAACCACTTTCTCCTCTCAACCCTCAGGCTCAGGGATTGTAACTGCTATGCCAGTGCCTCTAAACCAGAGCGATTTTTCCCACAAAGGACATTTTCTAATTGTTACTACTGGGAGGGGTGTTATTGGCATCTAGTGGGTGGAGGCCAAGGATGCTGCTAAAAATTCTTCAGWGTACAGCCCCCACCCTACAGAGAATTATCAGATCTAAAATGTCAACCTTACTGAAGTGGAGAAGCCAGGAATTATGCTAGCAAGACCCTGAGCTGCTGTGCTGTCCCTTGTAGTTTCCTTGTTCCCTGCCCACGCCTTGGGAAGCGATCTCTTTATTAAATCCTCCTCAAATTATCCCAAACTGAGTATGCCATCTGCTTTCCTGCAGCAGCCCTAAATGATGTAAACCCTTTAAAATAAAAGCATTATTTACCCTGTAATCCTAAAAGGTAGAAGGGGAGAAGAGCCATTAGCCAGAAGACCCCTACCTCAGCCAGTCCTGCCCGTCTCCTCCAAGTGATACTGCAAGGCACAGCCTGTGCTTCAATTGCACAGCAGCACTCCATGGACTGCAGAGCTCCCAGGAGCTGGCCCCCACCTTCCATCTGTAAAAGCACTGCAACAGATGGGAAAGAGCCTATCAGTGGGTGGTCCTGAAAGCAGACAATTCAGCTCAGGGTGAAGACAGATGCTAGGAGAACCTGGATCCAGCACCACAACCATGTGCTTTAAGCATTCCTCTGGCCTCTGGGCTTTCAGCCTGTTGACCAGCGTTGCCTTCTTCTTTCTTTCCTGTTGTCTTGGGATGCTTTCCTTCTGGCCTGCTTTTTCCTGCAGCTGGCATCTCTGCAAGTCTCTTCTCAGAACATTCTTCCTGTGCTTGGTTCTCTTCTGGGGCAGGGGGACATCAGAATTTGTTTTGGTTACTTCCAGGCTATTGTTCTGAACAAGGTGGGTAAACTGGTAGGCTGGAAGCTGAATGCGTGGATTGTCTAAGACAGGGTCCTGGTTACCTAGTACACTCCTCTCTAAGGTAACATGGAGGGGAACATCAGGGATCTTTGAAAAGGGCTGTTTTTTCCAGTCACTTGATGCTTCTTCATTATTTTGATGATTTAAAACACTTTTAACTGGGGAGCTAGAGTCCTCAGAGTTCAACTGCTTGTAGGTCAAAAACTTACACTTAAGCCTCTCAGCTAGGGGAACAAATTCCTCTTCGCCCTCACTTCCACTACTTAGTACTCCGACTGGTTTTATTTGTGTGAGAGTTTCATCAGTGTCTGAGACAGGTGGTGGATCTTTCAATCCTGGTGACAAAGGACAGGAGGCCTCAGAATCTGAGGAGTCAATCACTACAATCTTCTCTGCCCTTTGAGGCTGCCTCCTCTCTGTTGAAGATGGTTCCTTCTTCAGAAAGGAAAACGTTGGCAACTCCTCGGAATCACTCTCACTGGATTCTAACGACTTCATTACAGCCACCAATATGTGCTTTCAAATTAATTGCCTAAAAGGAAAAGACATAAATGGTAGTGACAATTCAGTTCACTAGACATGTTCTTATCACCAAGCTTCATGAAAATAAATGAGCCAGGTATGGTGGTGCACGCCTGTAAGACCAGCAACTCAAGAGGCTGAGGCAGGAGGATTGCAAGTTGGAGGCCAGTCATGGCAATTTAGCAAGACCCTGTCTCAAAAGAAAAAAAAGGTCGAGCTTGTAGGTCAGTTCAATTCCAAGTACCATCAAAAAAAAAAAAAAAAA